CCTGGAACTCACTTGGTAGCCCAGGCTGGCCTCGAACTCACAAAGATCCGCCTGCCTCTGCCTCCCGAGTGCTGGGACTAAAGGCGTGCGCCACCACCGCCCGGCTAAACACAAGTTTTAATGGAAAACTGCTTGGACATGAGGCTCCTCTTGATAAAACTAATAATCTAACTTTTTCTTAAAGGGGAATTTTCACAATTTCTATCCCAGTCAGAGGTTCTATTATTATCATTTAATGCCATTTTCCTGGTTAGATTTTGAACATCTTTAGGCTTTGGAGAAGATGTTCCATATCAATAGACACACATTACAGTGTTAGGTAATGTTTCTCTCAGTCATAAGTTCCTCATTTTAAATAGTAGAAGAAAGTCAACTAATTAAAAAGACCAAGACAAGTCATTAGAAAAGATTTACTTTATTCATGACAAAAATATTAACTTGATTCTAGAAATATTTTATGGTAAGGGGAGGGTCTAAGCATGATCACTTTGGTTACGAGGAAGGTACTAGAAGCACACATCTGGAACGAGCTGCTTTAATAGGGGTGCATTTCAAAGTAAGCAGAATTATTTTTGAAGGACTTTGGGATATATAAAGAAAAAAAAACTTCCATGTTTCTACTGCACAAATTAGGAAACCTGATTCTCTGACCTAGAAATAAAAAAAAAGTCTATAAATTCAAGAGAAAATGGTTTCATACTTGAGGCAAAGACAGAGATTATCAGTAATGAATTTATGATCACGTCTGCCTTCATGGCATTTGGGGGAACAAACCAACCTATTTCATAGCAATTGGATTTAAATTACTTTCCCACTTATTTCTATGAAAACTTTTTGGTAAAAGGCACAGGTTAAATGGAGGGTGTGACTATGGGGTTCAGGCTACGGCGAGGGGATGGATTTGTTACTGATGTAGTGATGTAAGCAAAGCAGATGCCTGCCCTATGCAGGCCGGGTGCAGAGAGCTGGGGGATCAAATCCTTAGGGAAGCCAAGTGAGAATGGCTTTGGAAATTCATTAGGGAGGTTGTTCTTAAAGATGGGCTCATCGCCTTCCACTAACTAGTTATTGGTGATCAGTCTTCTTTTATAAAAGAAGACAAAGAAACAAAACAAAGCAAAACACATTGACCCAGGCAGTTCATAGTCTTAAACTTGAAAGAAAGCTCCTGTTTCATAAGCGTGTGACATTTCAAATACAGTCCATGTGCAGCTATGTGTGCCGACATATTAGACTGATTTTAATATCCACTCATTTAACTTTCTCATGACTTTTGTGTCTGGTCTTTGCTTTTAATACATCTTTTATTTGAAGAGATTTAGAAGATAACTTAATAGAATAGAATAAAAGCTTTGATTGATTTTATGGTGCCACTATAGTAAGATTCTAGTAGGAAGTACATTTTCATATCTTATATTTAAACACCTTTGATGATATTTATGTTTTCACCTTCTGTCTTATCAGATAAAAGAGGAATCACTATATTGCATTAATTTTTTCCTTTGTGACAGTTTTTAGCTACTTAGAAATTTTTTATTCAAAGGATAAAGTGAATACATTCTGAGAAGTCCATCTTGTTAACTGTAATGTGTTCTGCATACATTTCAAAGGAAGTGTTTGAGATGGACCGCCCTTATATTGCCACCATTTAAAGATATTGAACATATATCTTGATTGATGCATATTCATTAGTGATGGCAAAGCCTGAAACCTCAGCATGTGGGGCAAATGTAGATGAACTCATACTGCACTGTGTTGCAGCCCCTTTGGATTAAATGATGAGGTTGCAACACACAAAAAAAGTGAATTCGATTTTCTCCTGATCTCTGAAGGGAGATAGATGCAACTTCTTTGGCACTTATGACATTATTTTTCTACATCTGAGATTTGGTCTAACTCAGATCCAAGGGCAGTATATGTACCTAGGTTTACTTTGCTTGAAATAGTTGTTGGTTTGTGTCTCAAGAGTTTTCCTGCCAGGTGGGATGCCTTTAATCCCAGCACTTGGGCGGCAGAGGCAGGCTGATCTTTGAGTTTGATGCCAGTCTGGATTATAAAGTGAGTTCCAGGACAGCCAGAGCTACTCAGAAAAACCCTGTCTCAAATAAATGAATTAAAAAAATAGAGTTTTCCCAATGTAAGTTTCTAAGATGTGTAGAAGTAACTTCGGGAAGGTCTTTGAATAAATCACAGAATCAAATTTTGGCAAGGGAGAGGGTAAAAGAAGAAAGCAGAGGATGATAGGGAAGACACAAGACGTGAGAGTGAAGGAGGAGCGGTGTGAGGATAAAGGACTGGCTGGGCACCTTGATTGCCTGTCGGTGCTGAGGTCAGAGAGCAGTCTAATCTCATTGATATGTCAGTTTTCATTAGGCCAGAAGTGGTCAGTAGTTCCTATGAGCTTGGGCACATCTGGAACTGCCATACTTTCGAAAAAGTCATTGTTTACCAACAGATCCTGTCAGTTAATCTCCTTCTTTCAGGTAAAGATGATCTTAGGCACTCAGCTTCTCCTACTGTCTGATTGCTGTACTTGCTGTAATCTATGGATTATTATTTCCATGATCAGAATCAGTTCAGCACTTCATCCCCCAAGACACTATCTCCAGTACTCTCTCTGCTTCTCGTATCTAGAGAACTCCTCCCCCCACCCCCTTTATGTTAGCTTTGTCCCAAGCCTGTAATATTTTGAAAATCATCATTGATAACTCAAGGGTAGCAAGAAAATTGGCAGTGCATTACTTTTCTTGACATTGAAAGTCATTTACAGTGTTCAATTTTTCCTTTAATCTTTTGATTTCCTTTGTTGCCTTAAATGGCTAGCCAATTCATGGTGTGGGCCATAATTCTTGCATGACAAAGCCTGAACTTTCTACGCTGTCACCACCTGGACTATGTCCTTTCATTTGCTCATACCCAAATGCTGCTTTATTTGACACACATTTCAGATATATTGTTTATGAAAATTTCCCAGTGTTCTTCAAACAGAGGTGATCAGTTTTGTCTTGACGTCATCACAACTATGTAAATAATTCACTTTCTAGATCCTTGTTTATTACCTTCTATTATAGTTTTAATTCTGTGTTGTTTCTTCCTTTAGATAATAGAGACATTGATGGAAGAATTTGTATTTTGTCATTTCCTGTATCTTCTATCTAGTACATCTCTCATTGCCTTATGTAAAATCTCACCTCTAGATATCTTTTAATCCAGGTGTAATGTCTCACAGATATATAAAAAGCAATGCAATATACTCTTAAACACTCCACAAGGGAAGCATATTTTATAATGTACACAAAGTGGCAATTTAAAGAGGTGTGGTATATGTTGTTTTCCAGATGGTCTTGATTTATAAAATATATCCTAATTACAAAGGCAAAACAGATTTTTGTTGTCCAAGCAAAGTTTTAATATTCAATATTTTCCATTATATTCTCTACAATAAAAAGGGAGTAATGTTCAAATTCTAAGATATGGAGAATTGTAAAAACTGGGCTACTAATATTAGTAGAGAGGAAATAAATTTTGTTTTAGAAGTGTGACAGCTATAGTGAGTAACTCAGGGTACTTAGTGTTTAAAGTTTTATTTCTAAACAAGGGACAATGCATATAACAATTATATAATAATTGTATAATAAACCTTTCCCCTGGGACTTTGATTTCAAATACTGATATTATATGATTAGAGATAATATTATTCTAGAAGCTGATATTAAACAAAATGAAGATATCAAATGTACAGAAGTTCAGGATATTGAAATATTTTGCCATACTTAGCCCACTGTATAATTATTTTTGCTGTCCAAATATGAGGATAATATCAAAGCCACTGAATTTCATCTTATCTACTCTACCCAGGCTAAATAAGATCTGCTGTTGCCTTCTCTTCACTTTTTTCGAAGAATAAGATGGAGAAGGGACAAGAGAGGTATTAGAGTGAATAATATTTTTTTTCTGTGGATGATTAGTTATGCAATGGAGTGATGCAAAATTATCAATGGAACTATGTGTGGGAGCCCATTTTCAGGTTCCTCGTAGCTTTACCCAGCAGGTCTGTATAGAGAGGATGATTGGACCATGGGCCTGAGTGCAGGTGTCTGAGATAGTCTGCACTTGGCTGTGCAGGGGGGAGGTCTTTTGCTCCACCCATTGGTATTTCTATAAATACCTTAGGGCAGAGACAGGGCCCATTGGAAAAGGTTCCAGGCCCTCTCGAGGCTATCCTGTATTTACTATCTGTTTATCTCACCAATCTAAATCCTTCTATCTAATATTTCCTGATGCTCTCACTCAAGAAAACTCTGGGGAATTGTGGGGAAATGCCCCACAACTATGTTAATTGAAAATTCCTCTAGTTGTTGTAAGATATAAATCTGGAAAGCACTGTAATTAATAGCATGTATATATAGTTTTCCAGTTATATTTTTTAGGTATATTGCATAGACAAAAGATTATTTATAAGCTGCATAAATTATTTCCTAATTTTGATAACACTAGAATGATGGTCAAATCAATACTCTTATTTCTTGGTGCTATTAAAAATAAATTTATGCTCTTACAGTTTTAGCAGTCTTAATATATTTTCTCTAAAAATTTAAATGTTTTATTACTTTACATTCATTTAGTTATCCTGCCCCCAAATAAATAAAACCTCCACCCTTTAAAAATAGACTTCCTTTAACCTAATATCGACATCGTACAAGTTTTTGGAAGGCTTTCTTGAAGTCTTCATTGAAGATGGTATAAATCAGTGGATTTATAAGGGAATTCAGGTAACCAAGCCATGTCAAAAAATTTGACATTTCTTCAGAGATTTTACATTTGTCACAGACATTAACAACCAATTCTTTTACAAAAAAGGGCAGCCAACATATGACAAATGCACCCAGGATCAGTCCTAGGGTAGTGGCTGCCTTGCGCTCTCTAGTGCCTGAGATTTTCTGTCTTCTCCATGATTTCTCATGCCTCAACTCAGACCGGGGGCTTTTCACTGTGCTATGAATTCTCTCAAAGTCTGTCGATGGATCCGATAAGGATTTTTCTAGCACATAGGATGTGGAGACCAGTTTAATACTCTTCTCACTGCTCTCCAAAAGGACTTGGCCATTCAGCTCTTCCTTCATCATCCGACTTGCTTGCCTCTTGTGGTATAGTGTCCTTGCTGCTTTGTATATTTTGTAGTAGAGGATCAATATCAGTACAAGTGGGATGTAGAAAGCTCCAAACGTGGAGTAAATTGTGGAAACAATGTGGTCATGTTTGATGACACATTCATCATCACGGCTAGTTCCTTGGTGCCTCCAGAAGAGAGGAGGCATAGAGATGAACACCGATATAACCCACACTATTGTAATCATGATGCCAGCATGCTTGGGAGTCCTCTTCCTGGCATATTCAACAGCATCTGTGATTGCTCGGTACCTATCCAAGGCAATAGCTGACAGATGCAGGATGGAACATGTACAACAGATGATGTCAACACTCAGCCAAATGTCACAGAGTACTTGTCCCATAATCCAGCTCTCTCTCACAATGTACACGATACTGAAGGGCATCACCAGGACGGCTACGAGAAAATCTGTAACCGCCAGGGAACAAATTAAATAGTTGGCTGGATGGTGCAGCTTCCGAGTCACAATGATTGCAGCGATCACAAGGGAGTTGATAGTGGTTGTCATCAGTGCCAGGCCGGACAGAGTGAGGGAGACTAGAATTTTGGAAGGCATTCCATTTAACAGTTCCTCGGAGGTCAAGTTTTGATCTGATGAGTTTAAAAAGTCCATTTCTTTTTTGTTTCAGAGGCTAATATAGTTGAAAAATGAATACCTGTAACAAAGGAGGGGGAGACATAGTTCAGAGAAAATTTGAAGTACTTTTCTTTTTATAACACCTTAAAAAGATACATGCATGATTTTCTAGAGAATTCTATGCATTAAAATTTGAGCTCAGATTGGAGATTTTTTTTTCCTGAAGCAATCTAATGCTAACAGTAACAAATAGAAACTTTCAAAACATTTGTTAAAATTGGCGCACATAAAGCAATTTTTATGAGTAAACTATCCAATTAGCCAATAAAATCCCCATGATAATTTTTAAAAACTATATTAGTCCTATGTTTTTCTCTTTGTCTACAGTAGAAGTTATGTTTAAAAGTGCAAGTTAATATTTTATACTTGTGTATTTTGTAATGTAGTATGAGAACATTAAAGGCAGTATTCAAAAATGATAAGTATATTTAAGGTCACATTGTGAACATTATTACTGATATTTGTAATGCATTTTGTGCTATGACATAGAGGCTTCATAGAGAGAAGTAACTAAAAAATACTATATGTAGCATTTTATAAAATTAGAAAAATGTTCATAGTCTTTGGGGACTTGGTAGCTAATTTGGTTTGAGAAGACAAAATAACATTAGTAGGAGTCAAATAACCCTAAATTATCTATTATAACAATAGCACACATGACCAAACAGTCCTTTCATGACCGCCATACTGACAGTAATGTTGTTTTCTTTGTAAATCACCCTTGTATTGATTATATTACATTTCTGCTTAAGAAGGACCATACATCCACGGTTTATAATTGTTGCTTCAGTCTGTGATTTAATTTAATTGGAAGCCAAATAAGGGCTTGAAATATAGTTCAGGGGTAGAATACTTGCCTACATGTGTAAGGCCCTGGCACCAAAAGAACCAAAGAACAAGTAATTGGAGTGTACTCAATTCAGATACTAGTAATATTTTTTTTTTTTACAAGATGTTTCTTTATTTCCCATTACTCTCCTTCTTTGTCTTTCATAATTTTTAGTGACCTCTTGGCTGTCAAGGAAGGACAGGAAGGAAGTAGAATCTGAGACTTTATTCTTAGTTATAATTGCTATTTTATGAGTATATATTTAAATATACTTACTTTAAAGTGGTAATGTTTCTGTTGTTAGGACTGGACTGATAATATTTAAAATCTTAATATTTTTACATTCAGTATTTCATAAGGATATGAATAATCATGTATTCGTTGTAATGTTTACTATCTGCCTCTGCTTGGGTACCAGTATAAAATTTAATTTTGATTTTCAGGTATTCATGAAGCCAACTGCTGCTAAGCAAATTGAATGCCAGAAAATATTGAATATCTACTACCTGGATTAGTGACTATCCATTGTAAAGCTGAGAAATTGTCTCATATCTGTATAATGCCCATCTGTAAAGAGCAACTAAGATGTCCCATGTCTATGGAACACTTACCTGTATAGGGTAACTAAGACAAGTCTAGAGAAGCAGTGAAATGTAAATCCTTCCTAGAAATTCTAAACCAGAAGTTACTAAATTCAATGCCTCTCAGAACCACACTGAAGCCTTGCTAAATCAGATTCCAGGGTCCAACCTTTGGAGTTTGTGATTCAGTAAGTCTGACGTGGGGCTCTAAAATCCACATTTCTGACATGCTTTCAGGTGATGCTGATGCTAGAGGACCAGAGAGTCTGGGTTTAATCATCCTGCTTGTTTCCCACACTGGTCTATTTTGTCAGTGCTATGGCAACTATAAGTTTCTCTCAATGATAGCATCTATGATCTTTCAATATTTCTTCAACATGGTTCTTCCTGACATTCTTATTTATTAAAGACTCTCAAATAAATGACCTCACACTAAGTTTTCATTGGATGTGTCTCTATTTTTCATTGCTGGCTCAGTGTAGCTCTCAGACATCCTATTCTAGGGCTAGTTTTCCATTCTCTCCTGAGAGAAATTTGGGTCAGATGGTCTGAGATGTAGAGAACTCACAGGCATCATCAGCACCCTTACAAAATCCTTGCATGTGTTTTTAGTAACACAGGATCTTCTACTTATCCATCCATTCTCCTCCCTCCCTCCCTCCGTCCCTCCCTCCCTCCCTCCTTCCTCTTCTTTCTTTCTTTCTTTCTTTCTTTCT